TGTTACTAGGTATTATTTTCACTTTGACACATAGGCATTTAGTCTTCCTTGAAAACTTACACAAAGGGAACAAAATAAATGATCTAGATAAAGAACAATTGTGGAACTGAGTGCACACAGGTGATTTTTAATGATTCAAACTTCTCAAAGTAGATAACATCTATATGTCGAGTGGATTATGAATATTCTGATGACTTTTAAAATGTATTAAGGGTAATGTTAATTTTTAAACCACATTGTTTCTATACCTATAATTAAGTTAAGATCCAAAAGCTGGTCTCATATCCCAGCAGAGAAAGAAATCTGCTGACATTTAAGTTGAAAATGATTAGAAACACTATGTACAATTTGTATTCAATAATCATTAAATTCCACAGTATTCAAATGACAAAATAGCAAAGTCTCACTCTATTTTAAAAGAGTGATATAAGAATCTTTCCAAGAATATACCACTTTATTTCGCCATGCTGCTTTCTTCAAGCCCGACAATGGTAATCATCATAGGTTAGATAAAATCTTCAAAGAACTCTAGTCTGACACACTAAAGAGGAACACAAGCAGGAAAATATGGCCTAAATACAAGGAGGAAAATCCTATTACTTTTATACTTCAGAATATTCTAGCATTTTTATCCCATAATTATAAACTACCAACAAAACTACAAGTTACAAATATTTATTATTGCTTTCTTTTTCAAGGAAGCCACTGAAACGATGAATAGATGAGAAATTGGAAATTATCTACCTTTCACAGTAATTACAGGAGAAGAAAAACTTTCTACAAAATCCAGTACTTTGCTTCTTCCCCTGCTAAAGGGCTAACAAGAGATACAAAGACACCATTGTAGGTCAGTATGGGTGGCTCCTCTAGCCCTCCTACCCACGAAGGTATGCCATCCTCAAATTTAGGAGGCAGAAATAAACTTCATGGCCTTTATTGTTTCACATATAAGTGTGGAAATATTTCTTAACATAAAGCCAAATTTTATATATAAACAAAGCAAATACTAATTCCTCTGACTTTGCTGAGTCATTCACTTAGCACAATACTAGGCCTATGGAATGGACTTAAGACAAAATTATTGATTCACAAGTAAGAATATACATAAGAATATGACCTAGAAAAATGTGGAGCTTAATAAACAATAAACTTTAGAGATCATCCTAGTGATCTAATTTTCTTAATAGAACCTTCATTTATGTCTTTGAGAAGCGTATGGAGTCAGAAGTTCAGCAGCACATTTCATTGTTGTTATCATAACTTAAACTTAACATCCAAAGGGGAGTCAAATCAGTTATCTCAACTGCTGCCCTTGGTTTGCGTGATCAAGTTGGCAAAGCAGAAATCATCATGGCTGGCTTATGTGGTTATGTCCACCCCATTCCCCTCCTACCAATCCCCTTTCTGGGAGATTAAACGGATCTCATCTCTGATCCTAGTTCAATTTAACACAAAAGTATGTTAGAGAACGCCTAAGGTACACTTAAACAATTAAGCAAACAACTGTTCATTTTGTTTTTTTTGTTTTTGTTTTTGTTTTTTGGTGCATGGGGGGTTCGAGATAGGGTCTTGCTCTGTCACCCAGGCTGGAGTGCAGTGGCACAACCATAGCTCGCTGCAGCCTCAACATCCCAGGTTCAAGCAATCTTCCTGCCCCAGTCTCACTCTCTCGAGTAGCTGGGACTACAGGTTTGCGGCATCATGCCTAGTTAATTTTTAAATTTTTTGTAGAGACTGGGTCTCACTATGTTGCTCAGTCTGGTCTCAAGCTCCTGGACTCAGGTGATCCTCCTTAGGCAAAAAACTTTTTAAACTCTTTGCAGATAAATGATGCTGCATGTAATATTGTTGCTGATCATTTTGCTTTTTATCAATATTTTGTAATACTTGAATTTTTTATAATTAAAGCAATGAAATTTAAAGCCATGACTTTTGGTTCTAATATTTACATGTTATTTCCACATGATTACTTTTATGTGAACTTTATATCTTTAAAAACACCATGAATAAAATATTAAAGAAAGTTCTGATTAATAAGACCTTAAGGATAAGGTTTTTGAGGGATTTCACATCGAAGATGTTAAAGGAAAAGACTCATCTCTAAAATGAGCTAGGAGTAAATTCAAGTTGAAGATAAGATAAATTCAATGATTCTTCATAAGGACAAAATAAATCTTCAAGAATCAGTTTACCATATCACTGAGTGTAAGATATTCAGTAAAAGTGAAAAGCATTTCTAAGTGGAGTAAGAATTAGTAAATTAGACTTTTTAAACAATAGTTTGTTTTTCAGCATCTCTACTTCCAAGTATAAAGAAAAGAAATAAACAAACTGCAAACTAAAGCCTTCAACTAATTTTCCCTGGCACCAATAACTCCAGAAGTATTTGCAGTTTTTTTCTTACAGATCCAAGTCAAGAATAAAGACATAGAAACACAAATACTAACATACGTTGCATTAAACTGGTCTAATTAGGAATTAGACGACAGCTTTCATTGGTTTCCCATTGCCTACTCATCCCATACATGTGGATATAAACAATAATGTTTCCTTAAGTCTATTTACTGGGCTCATGATTTTAAAAAATTACATTAATTTGCACATTCATGAGAAAAAAATACACTTTTGAAAAAAATTCACTGAAGAAAAATATTAAAATAAGGTGTTTATTTATAATATTTCAAGTGTTAAAGTACTGTGTGAGCCACTTGGACACGCTCACGCAGAAGGCTGTTCAGTAAAAATCGCTTCTATTTGAGATGGAGGGGAATTCTAGAAGCTATAGCTACTTGCACTAAGCATATTGAAGCAATTTTGCCTTACGGTGACAAGAAACTTCAGAAGTAAGCTGGGTTCACAGGTGAAGACCGTGGTGTGCACTTAAAAGAAGTAGCCTGTTCCAGCCAGGAGGAAGACTATCAGCATCTATTGGGCATCATGTTTTTATTCCAGTGATGTGAAGATCCCAAGGAAAGCTAACTACAGAGATCTAGAATGGTCGTGACAAGTAGGAATGCTGCTGAGAACCAATTCCAAAAAGAAAGGTCAAGGTAATGTGCAGAGGGAAAAAATATTATTGGCTACAAGTGGCCCTGAGAATCAAAAATAACCATAATAATTTAGTTGCTTTATTTTGTGTTTTGTAGGCAAAGAAAATCTAAATTAATAAGAACACTGCTCTTAAGCCTTTTACCCAGAATATGATACCTTCGGATTGCTTGACTTGTTTTAGTCAATTTGCTTTCCTCAGCATTTCTAATACAGTCAAGCATGAATGTAACTGAACCACTACATATGAACATAAGAGCTCCTGTTTCCAGATAGTCAGGAAATCCATTGGTCTTGGCAACCCCAGAGAGTTGCAGATGAGGAAATTGAGGTCCTAAGTGGTTATATGAGTTGAATATATTTAAAACTAACAGATTATGAATTCAAGGCATGAAACATTAATATATTATTATTATTCTATACATGTTATGCCAAATATAAAATATGCATAATGCCATATAGGACATAGAAATCATATAGTAGTGAAAACACATAAATGCACATAAGTGTATCCAATGTATAAAGATATTTCCTGTAGATTATAACAGAAAGCAAATGTTCACACAGGTGATTTTCCCACTTGATAACAGATCAATTCCATTCATCAAAAGTATATTTAATTCCTTTCTATTTAAGCATAAATTAAGACCCTTCTAAACATTTATAGGCTCTTGGTGTTGAAAAGAATCTCAAAAATCAAAAATCATCCAACCTCTCTTCATATGTGACGCATGAGTTTGGAAAGTAGCAACAATGCTCTATGGCTATTTATTATTATTTTATTCCCTGGACCAGTAAGGGATTGTCACATAAAAATAAGAAACACTTACATAAGAGAATCTCCAATGGTTTCCCTATTAAGAAACCATTCTATAAAATGAGTCCATTTTCTGAGAGACATTCCCAGCCTAAGGTTTCACTGGATCCAGGTGGCAATGAGATCAGGACCAATAAGAGTCTCCATTTGCTTCCCAACCCACCAGACCCCAAGTATACATTGTCAAGACTATGCTTTATTCACTTTGTGTTCAGTCACCACTAGAATAACCTCCTTTACCCTCCCCAACTCAGTCCACTACTGTCTATGCCTGGCACTTAGAGGGGTGGTAGGTGGATGGATGGATGCGTGGATGGATGGATGGATGGATGGATGGATGGATGGATAGATGGATGAGTGAATAAGTACGTAAAAACTTTCCTCTTTTGTTCCACTATAATTCATATTTCATTCAAATACCATGATAAAGTCTTAATCTCTTCTTCTAAGGAGATGTTGTCATTTTTCCTATCAAAACTTAGTAAATGTCTGTAGCTGGCCAGTTTCTAATCATAATAAAAACAAAAAGATATCATCATTTGGGTAGCATATCTCAGGACCTGGGAATTTTTTTTTAAAAAGTCTATATCATGATTTAACTGAGAACATTAGTATCTTCTAAGTGTTATCTTCTACGTTAGCCCTGTGTATTCCCATCAGAATGAAAGGGATTAGGATGAGAGCTAGGGCTAGAGTTGATATATATAACCCTGGAATGTTTCAAAAGTTTTTTTTAAAAAAAGGATCTGAAGTTTAGATTTGAGAGCATCATTAAGGGAAGTCCTATAATATACCTTCAAACAAAATGCAATTTTGTTGTTAAAGTGAGGCACGAGTTATTTCACAGCCAAAAAGAAGGTAGAGTATTAAACACATCATTTGTTTAATGTTGAAAATACACCCTGGGCCTGTGGGTGTACATACTGTAACTGAAGTCATCTCAACAACAATTACCCGCCAGTTTCACTCTCACTCAGCGGGGGAGGTGTGTTTCAATTAGTGGTTTCTTGCCAGTACTTCCTCATACTTTCCTCATACTCTTTGGGCATTAGGGGGTTGTAGAGAAGTAGAAAGGAAAACTCATTACCCAGCCCTCAGACAGTTCAGAAATTAAATAGAAGTTTGTACTACTCACGGCTCTGCCTGTAGGCTTCTGTCCTCAGCCACGTAGTTAGAAGGAATATAGCCCTGTAGTTGCTGACTGGAGCCATCTCGCCTTTTCTCCAAGTGTCTGGCAAACCACCAGCCCTCATGTGAAGTGTCCAGAACTTGAAGTTTGTCACCTGCCCGGAAGCTCAGATCCTCAGCAGTCCTAGCCTGGTAATCAAACAAAGCCACAAAGTAGTGGCCATGCCTCTGTGACTGGGGAGAGCAATGGGCCCCTGGATTTTCAATCACCGTTGACTTGTCTGCTTCCGTCGACAAGCAGGGGAGATAGGGTTCTAGATACTCCCAGAGCCTCTGACAGATGTTGCTCATTGTGCCTTGGTGGGGAGAAGAGGAGCAGGGCTTCTCCCTCTCCCCTTAGTCTCTGCGATCCACCTTCTCTTCCTTCACCAGGCACCTTTGAAGTCAGCACCAACTCACCATACTTTGGAGAGTATGCAAAGTCCCATTTCAAATCAGTCCAGCAGCTGGTTGCAGCAAGTCCTACCTGGAGAGACTTACCGGCTTGCTTTCTGTGGCCGGAGCTGCTACCCCCAAGCAAAACGGAGCAGGAGCTGGGCAGCTGCTCAGTAGGAAGGTATCTTTTCTTCGTATCTGCTTAAGAATCGCACAACAAAAATAAAATAAAATTAAAAGGGCTTTATTTAGACAAATATCTGAGAACAGAATGGTGCCATCTTGCCTTTTGTCCCAATAAAAAGTTAGCAAGAGGAAGCTACTAACCCCTGGCAAAACCTACACACCTTGCTTTCGCCAGGAGCTCTCCCCCTGTTTCAAGTCTGCTCCTATCTTTGGACCAGTCCGGATCTGGACGGCTCTCTCCTTTTTGCTAATGAATAACCAACCAGCAGAGGTTGTTGACTTTAACATTCTGAGCTATGAACAGACTGTAATAATTTCTCCTTACTTCCTGGTTTCTTTCTGTGATCTAAATGGGATTCTGATTTCTTTACCCCTCCCATCTCCCACACCCAAGATAGACCAGATCCTTTACCAAACTGTTAAAGCAGCCACTAAAATCTATATTCCTTTTGTTTCATCCTGGAGAAACAGGCTAGCCCAGGTAGCTTTTTGTCTCGCTATGTTCCCAACACTGACATTCACGGCAGAGATTTTTTTCCCCCACAAATAGGAGTAGAATTGTTTTGCCACCACTAGGGGAAATTTAAAACGGCAAATTATTTAGGTATTTCTTGTTAGACACAGAGCAATTGGAAAAGAACCATCAAGTCACTCCCTTTTCTCATTACCAAGAATAGATTTTAATAGCTTCAAAGAATAGTCACAGTCTGGAAAAGTAAGAAAGCAGCTGACTAAAATGCTGAGAACCCAAAACGTTGCTTTTTCCCACAGACATTTAATTTCCTATCCTTCAAGTACTATTTTGGAAACACACACACACACACCCCACACCAACTAGGTGACCAGTAGAGAAAAAAAGAGTAGGGCAGAGTGCTCTTTGCGCACTGCTGTGGGGGCTCTTTCTGCTAAGCTTTGACCTCCAGATCTATACTAGTTCTTGCTAATTTCCTTGGCAAGAACTCAGGAACTAATGAGACTGACATCAGGACAGCCATCTCTAGACAGGCAGTGGGTTTTGCTTGACCTTCCCTAGTTCAGGGCAGCTGTCTCGCAAATATGTGCCCTGGATCACAAAAACAGCTGGGCAATGAGTCTGGCAGTCATTTATACTAGTAGACAGCATTGCAAACTTGTTTATGATGTCACTGATTTCCCTATAAGACTTTTTTTTAAATTTCTTCCTTAAAAACAATCTTTCTAAATGTTGTGAGATCCTTGAACCTGGCTAACCTATTCCTAGTACGAGCTCATAACTTCTGTTCTTTGTCAAATTGCAAGGCATTTAGTAATCAGAATAATCAAACTCAAGAAAAATAAAGAAAGAAAATCAGAGAACCATGGCATCAGCCCAACCTGCTACTACTTTGTGCAAAAATCAGTCCATAGCACTGGACAGATCAATTGGTAAAAATAAAATCTTGTGTTATGCTCCCAAGTTTCTCCAATCGTCTTTGGAGTCAGAGTACAAATAACAAGTTGACAGAAGTAGAAAAGCCAAAAGCTGAGCCAAGTTTTTGTTGTTGCTGTTGTTTTGTTTTTTAATGAGATGAGACCTAAAATAGAATGTATATGTAATTTTATATTATATACAAAACAGAAAATATATAATATCAAATGACCATAAAGGACATTTTGTTCCAAATACAATAATGGATGTAAAAGCATAGGATTTTATTAGTGCCCCTGACAGAGGCACACATGCTGAAGTCTTTCCTGAGACATCTACATGATCTAAAAATGAAAAAAAAAAAAAAAGATTTAGAAGCAACCTGAGAGATGTATTGAAACCCAATTTGTAAGTGGGGTTTTAGATTTTTGAATTGTGGGGGTTCTAAATTCAGACATGCCTTTGCTATAGTTATGACAAGGCATTCTGGAAAAAGACAAAGCAGCAGACCTGCACACCACAGTCATTGAGCAAGTGAGTGAAATTCAAAAAGCGGCCAACCATCCAAAGATGTCAGTTGAGCAATGGCCTGAGAACGCAGAGCCAAGGGGTGGAAAGAGAGAGGATTTCTTTGTGTTGATAGTACCAGAATCCTCCAGTCACCCAATCTCAAAGTCTTGCAGTCATCTTTTATTTGCTCCCTGGTTTCTTTGAGCTAATCAATCACTGAATTCTGCTCAGTCTTCCTTTTCATTTATTCCACAAACTTTTTTTTAAGCTCCTTCTGAGTGACAGCTGGGCACCAGACAGAAAACAGAATATTCTTTCCTAAATTATTCCAGAGGCCTCCTAACTGATCTCCTTTCCTCCAGCTTATTCCCGTCTCTGGCTGTTCCTGCACACCAAGATGAGTGGTGTTCATAATAGTTTATTGAGCAGTTTTTATAACAGTAACAATGACTGCGGTGATAAGACATTCCTAGTCATTACTGGTAAAAGTAAATATCTGTTTGGTAAGCTTTCTATGTGCCAGGCACTGTACTAAGAATGTTAGAAATAAGATCCAGGAATTCTACTCCAGGGTATGTATCCAAAAGATTCGAAATCAGGAAGCCTGAGAGATATTGAACTCCTATGTTTATTGCAGCACTATTCACAATAGTCAAGTTATGGAATCAATCTAAGTGTTCATCAATTGATGAATGGACAAGAAAATATGGTATATATACACATTGGAATTCTATTCAGCCTCAAAGATGAAGGAGAAGAAGGAAATCTTGTCATATGTGACAACATGAATGAATGTGAAGGACTTTGTGCTAATGAAATAAACCAGACATGGAGGCAAATACTGCATGTTCTGACTTATATGTGGAAGCTAAAAAAATCCAACACATAGAAGCAGAGAGCAGAATGATGGTTACCAGAAGCTGGGGAATCAAGGGAATGGGGAGATGTTGGTTGAGGGCTACAATGTTTCAGTTAGACAGGAGGAATAAATGATAAGTATTCCATTCGAGACCATGGATATGTTAATTAGCTTGATTCAATCATTCTACATTGTATACATGTATCACAGCATTACTTTGTACTCCATAAAATATACAGTAATGATTTGTCAATATCAGGTAAAAATAAGAGAATGTTACAAATAATATATCATTTAATTCTCACCAAATAAAAAACAAGGCCTACAAAGAAGGTAGTATTTAAAAAAAAAAAAAGTATTTTGGAGAAGAAACTGAGACCGAGAGGCTAGGTAATTTGTCCCAGGTCACAGAGCCACCAAGTGGCTAACCATGAGTAACATTCTGTTCTCAATCTGACTCCAGAGCCTGAGAGTATATAAATCCTCAGTTTTGCTGATGCTAAAAATATCTGATATTATTATTCTATGTAAAATTCTGGAAGAACCTCCAACACATTTGGAATAAACCTTAGTTTTACAGCATGACACATAAGGCCCTGCTAATTTCTCCAATCACGGTTCATCACTCCTGCACACAGGTCCTGTGACATAGTGTGCAAATGACCAGCAGTTCCTGAGGTCCTCTTCCCTGCTGTACCTCTGCATCCTCCTCTACCTTCTCCCCTGATGACTTCCTTGCATTTTTCAGGTTGGGTTCATGCATCACCTTCTCTGTCATAATAGATGAAAGGCCTCTGTGCACCCCTAAATTTTGGCAGAAACTTCTACTTGGTTTGTTGTTGAGCCTTTCTTGGTTCCGTATTTGTTTTCCAAGGAGAATAGAATTCCCTTCTCTGAACTTTTAGTGTCTTGTACAATGTCCATCATGTAAATAATAAATATTTGATGAATTAAATAATTAACACAGAAATAAAAAGAAACAGTGTGGGAGAGACAGAGATAAAAGCGGGGAGGAAATAGAGGGAGGGAGGAAGAAGCCACTGGGGAGGGATAAACATTTATGTGAATATTCATGATTGAGAGTGAAAGTTCTATAGCGTGAAAAGAGCCAGAAGCACAGAGGAGAGAATACATTCTGTCTATTGCTTCTCAGTCCGTTTCTTTCCTCTCTTATTGTTCCCTGAATGTTAGATTCCTTTGCCAGCCACCTAAACCAGTTTTCCTGCCTGGAGTCAATTTTCTTCTCATTCTTACAGCCACCACATTAATCTTAATCACTCTCCTACACAATGACCTTCAACAGATCCTCATTGCCTGGAAGATATGACTTGGAATTCAAGGCTAAGGAATTTGTACTTTATCCAAACTTTATCAGATGTACCCTTTCAACACCCCCTCCATTATGGCTTTATGTTAGCCAGACTGGTTTATTAGATCTCCCATATGCCTCATCTGCTCCCACATCTGATCCTGTATCCTTTGCCATTCTTTTACTCAGTATTCTTTCCACTGCTAACTTCCCATCCCAGTAAGTCTACTTACTCCTGCCTGCATTTGAAGGTCTGAATAAAAATCCCTCACCTCCTTAGACCGTCCTTAACCATTCCAGTCAAAAAATCACTTCTGTCTTCCTTGAATTGTCTAGCTCCCACAATCCCCACTCCTAATATTCACAATATTAAATGAATTGAACCATACTCCTATACCTGGTATGCTGAATACTGCTACAGAAAATCCCACAGCTATTCAGTTTTACAGTAGGACAAATTAATCATCCCAACTCCTGCTAGGCCTCAGCACTAGGCCTTGGAGAGAGCGATCATAAAGGAAAATCGGACTCTGTCTCCCCAACTCACACAGTGACATATTCCCCCACACACAGAAAAGAGGATTATATCCTAGGCAGCCACAAAAAATAAAAATAAAACTCTCCACCACATAGTCTTTCTCCAAACTCTGGCTGCAAACTCATATAACCTGCAAACGTGCACTTCTTCATACCTGTTGACCTTTGCTCAAGCCCCTTCTTTTGCCTGATGTGATAACCCCAACTTCTCTCCCTTTTCCTACATTAACCAACTTCCAACTTATTTGCCAGATAAATATGGGTTCTTGTCTGTCTTTTAAGAATAGAAGAAAATGTCTCTGTCTTTATTAATTCTTTCCCAATCACTTCATTAGACAGAATTGACCACTCTCTCATTTGTGCCTTCCCAGCATAACCTATACCCATTCTTGTCATTTATTCCATGTCTGTCTTACCAATTGATTCTAATCTCTTTACACACTTAATGTGGTGTTCTTGTGTTCCTATATTGACACAATGCCTAACACTTAATGGGCACTCAATAAATATATGTTGAGTGAAATCTAATGAATATCATTCATCTAGAACACAGTTTATTATATCTTATGTAGTTTAATATCTGCTTATATGTAATTGTGTTGTTTCCCCAAGCATATTGCCCTTTGAAGACAAGTTTATGTCTTTTATTTCTCTGTATCACAAGGAAAATCTAGAATCTGACATATGCATAGGA